ACGACGACGACGGACAATCACTCATATGATAAGCTCCGCTCGACAAAGTCAACAGCGGAGCTAAAAACCACTCTGACATTCCATACACATGTCAACCAACCAATTAGAGCACTCACCATTCAGGTCAGAACTTTCTATTCTGTGCAATGTGACATCCGACCAAAACAGTTTATTACTCTCTGTGTCAATTGCCAGTGCTTCAGGTTCAGATAGGCTAGAGCTAATAATTACGGTCTTGTCTGCGCCATCCATCGCCGCTCTCATAATTCGAGGTTTATTTTGACTAACACTTGTCCAATACATGTATCTAAAGAAAATTGACAAATGATAAGATACATTGTTCCAATTCAGACCAAAATAAAAGAAGCAAATAGTTCATAAAAATTACTGTAAAATATTTTCGCTCAGAATTAATTTTTGCTATTTTCCCTGAAGTAATGATTCTGTGAAAATAAAATCCAGCGAATATACTATTTTTCCTATATTTTACATTCAACTCGCCAAAAATCAGTGAAAATAAATTCCATATAAAATAAAGTATTTCACAGTATTTCACAGTAGTTCTCAATTTTAATTATTAGTAGTAAGATTGGAAGTGAATTATGTTATGAAATACTTATATGAAAAGATGACATGAATTTTCAATTTGGTGTACTGCAGATATCTAAATGAACAAATAATTGCATGACATAGCTCCTGTCAGTTAACAAGTTTAAGACGTCTTTGCATGACAAACTTCTTAGATTCAGGCATGGTTCAGTTAATGTGGAAGTTATAAATGTTATACATAATTGAAGAGTACATTGGTTATCAAAATGACATAAAACTGCTCGAGTATCTCAATTAAAAGAGGAGGTGTAGTAAAATTAGCATATTCAACATATCAGATATCAAAGCAATCAGCCTAATGGTTTCAAAGCAGAAATCAAAATTCAATTGAACATGATCACATCTAAATGAGCAGCTCCACTTATCTCCAATGACAGCAGAGCTTTAGACCTGACATCCCTCATCTATGTTATCGACGTACATTTGGTAATATAATAACTGCATGCATGATATGTATATTAATGTGGTAAAATACAAACATATACAACTTACCCCCGCTCAGGATCCAGAACAATTGCTCTTGGCTTCTCGGTATCATCTCTTATAACGACTCCGACTTCAGTCATATCAAGACGAGTGACGTTAATGACGTTGGTCTGAGAGCATGTCCAGTATATCAAACCACTATAAGGATCAAGAGCCAAATCGTGAGGATGGAACTTTGGCTCATCACCTGGATTGGGGAGAAATGTTTCTGGCTAAACAAAAACAAACATACATAGACGAATTATTTTCTCGTTATTTTATCAATTGATAGAATAGAAATTAAATTTTCATTCAATCAAATAGTTTTGCTCTGTAGGAAACTAAATAGTAGTGTAGCTAGTACATGAGGTGATAATATTGGCCCGAACTTGTGAGGATGCGTTAGCCGTACAACAGAGGACAGCAAAAACAGTATTCAGTCCAAGGTTTTATCATACACCATATAGGTGTAATTACAATTTTACCACAGGGGGTGACCTCAAACACACAACGTAATTTAGAATGACACATTTAGTTTTGATTGATTGAAATCGTGATACGAAAATTATTGCCCTGATGCGAGGGGGTGTACCTCCCATATCATTACAAGGCCAGAAAATACAAGGTACTGTAGAATACTTTATTTTAGCTGGAATTAATTTTCACTGAAAAGACTTTTTGGGCATTTTGCTTTGAATTATTTTCACTGATTTTTGATGAAATTAATGTAAAATATAGGAAAAAATGTATATTCGCTGGATTTTATTTTCACGGAATCATCCCTTCAGCGAAAATATATTCCAAGTGAAAATAAAGTATTCTACAGTATATGATAAAGCAAAGATACTTACCTCTAACCCATTATCATAAGATCTCTTTATAGTTTTGGTTCTACCATCAACCCAATAAATCTGCTTCGTCTTATAGTTATACTCTATAGCTTTCACAATACGCAGACCATGTATTGGCAAAACAATGTCGGGGCTGTCATCCAAATTGACCGTCATTCGACTAATCAGGTTGCGTTGACTGTACAGTAGAAACGACTCAGGTGCTGCAGTAAAGCAATATTTAGTTTAATACAGTTATTTTTGGGAAGGTTTTATACAAAGATAAGAAATCTATTAAACACCCACTAATATACTTACGTGAACATGTTTTATTATCTTCTCGCAATGTGTAATGCGTGGGACAGGCACAATGAGATTGAAGTTCACCGATTAAATTTGGAGGGTCAGCAAAACATAAATACTCGCATCCATTGTTGTTTAATGCACATTGGTTAGACCCTATATGAAATAAACAAGAGAAAGTGGTCAATCCACCATCGAGGGCAGTATAACATTCCTTCAAAATTACAACTTTATTTCCCAGGAAAATAGTATAGCCCATCGTAACAATTTACATAACAGTAGACTATGTTAATTATTGTATTCAATGTAAGGGTTTTTAAGCTCTTAATTTATCCAAAACGATGGAGTGATTCCCCTACTTAGGGACCCGGTTGCAGATATTTTTTTCTATTTTCTCATTTACCAGACTGTCTTGACGCATGAAACACCAAGATGTCCATAACATAGTCCAACTGTCCTTGAATCCGAGTTCTATTTTCACCACTGGTTTTATTTACTCTTTCAATACTGCGTGTTGCCCAGTCAGTCCAATAGATGTAGTCTTGATACTGAGTCAATCCGAATGGCTTTGGTAGTTTTTCCCCAATTACTGAACGCCTATGTTGACCTGTGTTGAAAAAAAAAATAAAAATGATTTATCAATAATCTATAT